TGATGAACAAGTCTTGTCTTCTCATCTGGAAGTAGAATATTTCTCTTCATGTGTTCAGAGTCTCGAATTTATCTTCAGAAATATGCGCAACATCTTTTCTGATGTACTAGTCTTGACTTCTGACCTTTGTGTTGGAGGCTTGTTTCTTGTACACTCTTGATTTCTGATCTTGAAGCAACAACTTATCAGAAACTTTTTCTTCTTGCTTACTTGTGACTTATGAAATAGCAGCTTGCTGAGAAGTACACACATGATTTTCTTCCCGGCGAACATTCAACATTCTTCCGAACTACTGATGTTTCTTCAGAAGCGAACAATCTTTCTGATGTGCCTGACGTATTTCTGATTCTCCAGACAACATTCCCGAATCAATTAGAATTTCTTATTTTCACACTCAAGAAACTTATTAGAACTAAAATTATTTCTCATCAAATATATGTATTGTTATCATCAAAACACATAGACTTAAACACAGATCCAAATCTTTTTCTAACAAATATTAATGTAGAGTTTATAACTCGCAAAAATAAAGAATACAACAATATGTTAACCTAGTTCGGTGCAAACTCACCTACTCTGGAGGCTACCAAGCCAGGAAAGAAATCTATTATCAGTAGTATTAGTTCAAAGTTAAACTCTCCCGTTTACAACTTCTTGCTTAATTCTTACCCAGTGCAACTTCTACCTAAGTCCTTCCTAGATATGAGAAATTGTCATCCCACTTCTAATCACTGCAGTGATAAAATACTTATCCCAATCACATGGGCTATATATAAACAAGTCACAGACACAACAACTTAAAACTAAAAACTAAATCAAAGTTTACACTTCAATCACAATACTCAAACTCTTGCTTCACAGCTTCAAGTGAAAACAATAACTTGACAAACTGTCAAGTAACAATCAGTCAACTCAAGTACATCAAGAGATGCATGAGGACGTACAAACAAAATAGAAACTTTCTTGAAGAACCCTCAGACCACAAAGCTGATAAAATACGGCTTCCTCTTATTTTCAGATTGCTTGCTTCATTAGGTCTAAGTACACTAGTGCAGGAAAAAGTTTTTACATCGGATGAAAAACACATTTTACATCTGGCCTGGGTCCGATGTAAAGACAAGGATGTAGTAAATCAAAAACATTTTACATGGAAAATAATACGATGTGAAAAATACATCTACCACATCGGTTGGCTGTTACATCTGATGTGAAATATGGGTTTAATTTTATTATTTTTAAATAAATGCAACATTTAACATCGGTTGTCTTTCTGGCCTGATGTAAAATATAATTTTTTACATCGGTTGCAAGGCACGTACAATATAATATGTATGTTATCTTTCTTAAAAAAAATAGACTATTTTTTAGCGGAATCAAGGTAGAATCATGTAATTATTTTCGCACCTAATTTTTCAAATTTTTCCAACATCACATAGATCATATTTAAGTCGCTATTTGGTATCTAATTTTTCATATTTTTCCAACCAACCTGTTAATTTCATTGTACCAAATAACTATGATGCACATATTCTTCATAACGAACAATTGATTTACAAAAGTATTAATATAGGATACACACAAGTGTACAAAATTATAAGTATGTTTACACGGTAGACTAGCACAACAACAAAACAATGAAAACATACAAAATATCTAATCATTTATAAGTCATTTCCCATGCTTGAATTACCAACATGAAATCCACAAGATGAGTTGTATCTTCAGTAGACAACACCAAAACCACATTTGCTGACAATAAATAATAACACCAATTAACATCAACAAACAACATCTTGTGTTAATTCTGTTGGATCATCAAACATCTACAATACGTAAATAACAATATACACTACAAGATAAAGGCTCTCCAGCCACGTGATTTTGCCACATGATTTTCATGTGGCTAAATAAAGTCAGTTGCGACGTGAAAATCACGTGGCAACATGTTTTACTAATATAATAAAGAAGCATGTAGTTTGTCAGTTTTTTTTTTAAAAAAATGTTACGACGTGGGATTCACGTCGCTAATAAAAATACCATAAAAAATAATTAAATTACTCTAACGTTCAGATATTTATCATTTTTAAATTTTGAAAAAGTAAGTTGCGACGTGTTTTTCACGTCGCAACATTTAAGAGGGAAAAATCCCAATTTTCAAGACTGGTGTGTTCAGGTTTTGAAGGATGTGAAGAAAGAGAAAATAGCTGTTGGATTGTTGGGACGTGAAAATCACGTGGCAGCGTTGCGGCGTGATTTTCACGTCGCTACATGCTTTATATATTTCTCAAAAACGCTCCACAAACACAGTAGCGTTAATTTGTTTCAACTTCTTCTTCAACCCTCCTCCTTCCATCCCTCCATAACCATTTTCTTATTCACAAAATTTGTTCTTCTCCAATATTAAATTCCTACAATCTCCATTAATTATTGTTTTAAGGTAATTTCAATTCAATTTTGTTTATATTTTGTTAACAGTTTTTTATGTGTTATATTATTGAATGTAATTTTTTTTCAATTTTTCTTTGAATAGAAGAAGATTGATAGAAGTAGATTGCAAAAAGGGACAAGAAGATGGAAGGAGTTACAAAATAAAAGGTATTTCTTGAATTTTTTTTTTGAATTTAGTATATTTTCTGAATTTGGTTAATTTTTAGGTTGAATTTGGGTTAAAATTTTAGGTTGAATTTGGGTTATATTTTCTGAATTTGGGTTAAATTTTAGGTTTAATTATTTAGTTTATAATAATTATTAATTATTAATTTGTGATGAATAACAGTTATAGGAGTTTAATTATTTTAGGAGTTTAAATTTTTAAATTTTTAGGAGTTTATAAAATTTAGGTGTTTAAATTAAATTTTAAGTGTTTAAAAATAAATAAATATTTTTAGGAGTTTATAAATTTTAAGTGTTTAAATCAAATTTTTAGGAGTTTAAGTTTTTAAACTTTTAGGAGTTTATAAAATTTAAGTGTTTAAATTAAATTTTAAGTGTTTAAAAATAAATAAATAATTTTAGGAGTTTATAAATTTTAAGTGTTTAAACTAAATTTTTAGGAGTTTAAGTTTTTAAATTTTTAGGAGTTTATAAAATTTAAGTGTTTAAATTAAATTTTAAGTGTTTAAAAATAAATAAATATTTTTAGGAGTTTATAAATTTTAAGTGTTTAAATTAAATTTTTAGGAGTTTAAGTTTTTAAATTTTTAGGGGTTTATAAAATTTAAGTGTTTAAATTAAATTTTAAGTGTTTAAAAATAAATAAATATTTTTAGGAGTTTATAAATTTTAAGTGTTTAAATTAAATTTTTAGGAGTTTAAGTTTATAAAATTTAAGTGTTTAAATTAAATTTTAAGTATTTAAAAATAAATAAATATTTTTAATAGTTTATAAATTTTAAGTGTTTAAATTAAATTTTTAGGAGTTTAAGTGTTTAAATTTTTAGGAGTTTATAAAATTTAAGTGTTTAAATTAAATTTTAAGTGTTTAAAAATAAATAAATATTTTTAGGAGTTTATAAATTTTAAGTGTTTAAATTAAATTTTTTTGTCTTAATAAGTTAGAATTAGAAAAAGTATAATATGTTTTTTGAAAGCATATATTTATCTTTAATAGTATATGTTTAGGATTATTATTAAGTTGATTAATTAATATTTCTAATTAAATAGGTTTTGATTATATAAATTTGCAGTAAATGGAATATTATAGGTATTATTGTAGTTGGATGTACGATAGACTATATCCAGGAAGACGCACACTTAAACCCAATTTTATAGACGAAGTTAATGGTTTTATCGCGTGGACGTTTGCTCAGAAACGTTGTCGAAGTGAAGGAGGAGTTAGGTGTCCTTGTCTTAAATGTGGATGTAGATATATAATTAGTGACCCAGAGGAAATAACACGTCATTTGCATAGGAAAGGTTTCATTGAAAATTATTGGGTTTGGACGTATCATGGTGAAACACTGCCGAGTAATGTACCAGAGACTAGCAACACAGATGCTTCAAGTAGTCAACCGGCTATGCAACCACCTATGGAATTTGAAGAAAACTTTAATCTGATAGGTGACATGGTTGGTGATGCTTTTGGTGTTAACGTGACCTATAATCAACCTGAAGACTTTGACGGGGAAGAGTTGCCGAATGAGGAAGCGCAGAGATTTTATCAGTTGTTGAATGAGATGAATACGCCATTGTTTGAGGGGTCGTTAGACTCAAAGCTATCAATGTGTGTGAGATTATTGGCCGCCAAGTCAAATTGGAATGTTCCTGATCAGTGTTTGGAGCACTTCGCAAAAATGATGTTGGACTCAACTGCAACGAAAGACAACTTGCCTGCGAGTTTCTATGATGCAAAGAAGTTGGTGTCGAAGTTGGGTTTAAGAGTAAGAAAGATTGATTGTTGCATTAATGGTTGCATGTTGTTTTATAACAACGAGTTTGGTACTCAAGATGGATCATCAGAGGAATGTAAGTTTTGTCAGAGTCCAAGATATAAAGTTCGCAATAGAGCCATTAACAGTAATCAAAAATGTGTAGCAGTAAAGTCCATGTTTTATCTTCCGATAATACCAAGGTTAAAAAGAATGTTTTCTTCAATGCACAGTGCAAGTCAAATGACATGACATCATACAAACAAAACAAGCCCAGGCAATATGCGACACCCATCTGACGGCCATGCATGGAAGCACTTTGATGAGGTACATCCTGATTTTGCCGCGGAACCTAGAAATTTCAGGCTTGGATTATGCTCTGATGGTTTTGCTCCATATGTCCAAGCGTACGGAAGTGCGTATTCTTATTGGCCAGTTATTGTAACCCCTTACAATCTCCCTCCTGAGATGTGCATGACAAAACCATACATGTTTTTGACGTGCGTCATTCCAGGACCGTCGAGTCCAAAAACCGGAATTGATGTGTACTTACAACCTTTAATTGATGATTTGAAGAGGTTGTGGAATAATGGAGAATGGACTTATGATATATCCCGTAAACAAAACTTTTCTATGCGAGCTGCCTTGATGTGGACCATTAACGACTTTCCAGCATATGGCATGTTGTCTGGTTGGGGTAAGCATGGCAGAATGGGTTGTCCGCATTGCATGGAATGCACTAAGGCGTTTACATTGGAAAAAGGGGGGAAAAGCTCGTGGTTTGACTGTCACCGCAGATTCCTACCATCAAATCATCCCTTTATAAAAAACAAGACAAATTTCAAAAAGGACGAACGGGTAACAGATCTGCCTCCGTCTCGATTGGCACCAGTTGCTATATGGAACCAAGTTTGTGAACTTCCAAAGTTTACAGATACTGGCAAAGCATGTAGAATTGAAGGATATGGGGTCACACATAATTGGACAAAAAGAAGTATATTTTGGGACCTCCCGTATTGGAAAGATAATTTGTTGCGCCATAATCTTGATGTTATGCATATTGAGAAGAATTTTTTTGATAACGTATTTAACACAGTGATGGATGTTAAAGACAGAACAAAAGATAATGTGAAGGCTAGACAAGACATGGAAATTTGGTGTAATCGTAAAGAGTTGGAATTGAAGCCTCAACCAAATGGAAAATTATTTAAACCCAAAGCTTGTTTCAGTATGACCCCCCAAGAAGCTAAAGCGGTTTGTGGATGGCTAAAAGGTTTGAGAATGCCCGACGGGTATTCTTCAAATTTAGCAAGGTGTGCTGATGCTAACACTGGGAAGTTGCATGGTATGAAAAGTCATGATTGCCATGTTTTTATGGAACAATTGCTACCAATTGTGTTCGGTTCTCTACCCAAACATGTGCTTAATCCACTCACTGAAATTAGTCAATTTTTTAGAGATATTTGTGCGTCAGCTTTAAGAGTGGATGACATCATTAAGTTGGACCAAAATATTCCAGTCATTCTCTGTACGTTGGAACAAGTATTTCCGCCTGGTTTTTTTGACTCCATGGAACATCTACCTGTGCATCTTGCATATGCGGCTTATCTAGGAGGACCTGTTCAATATAGGTGGATGTATCCGTTTGAAAGGTTCATGGGTGATTCAAAGCGATTTATATATTTTTTTAAGCAATTTTGTGACGTGATTTTCACGTAGCAAGTGACATGTTGTGGCGTGAAAATTGAGTGGCAACTGATAAGTTGTGGCGTTACAATCACGTGGCTATTTGTTTATTATTATTTTTTTATTTCATTTAATTTCATTAATTTTACTTATAAATTTAACTTGATTTTTTTATTGTATGTGTAGGAGGATTATCAGGCCTTGCTTGTAGAATTTCTGACCCATAATCCTCAGTATACTCCTCCTCCGGGAAAACCGGTTCATCCAAATGTGGATTTCTATATTTGGAGTCAATTTGTTGGGGGAAAGGGGCCTAACGGGTGTTTTTTTGGTGGTGGAAATTTGGCGGGCACCTTGAGGAGTGGGGATAGAAATCTGTATCAGAGAACTGCAGACGGTGAAGGAGGGTCACGTCAAATAAATTTGACACCAGATCAGTTAGAACTGGTAAGACAATTGACTAGACGCGAGTCCGAAGATCGTGAGGCGGCATTGAAGGCCCAAATGGAGGCAATGAGGGGTGAACATAATAGACAAATGGAGGCAATGACGAAGAGGCAGGCTGATATGGAGGAGCAAATGCGACAATTTATGCAAACATTTGGTAGAAATCCCAACAGTGGTGGCCAAAATAATAACCACTAAAATAATGATGACTTTCTTCGCGACTTTTCCAACGACTCGAATGATTCTGCTTAGTTTTATTTTTATTTTGTATTTAATTTTTTATTTGTGTAATATAAATTTATAATCATATTGTATATTTAAAAATATTATAAATTTAAATTTGAGTTTATTAAATTTATAATATTAAGTATATTAATTTATACATTTAGATATATTTAGTTTTATTTTTGATAATTTGATTTATAATATTGTATTTAATAAATAAATTATAATATTTAATTTATAAATTTAATAAAACAAAAAATAATATTAATTATTATAACAAAATTAATATATTTAAAACACAATATATATATATATATATATATATATATATATATATATATATATATATATATATATATATATATATATATATATATATATATATATATATATATATATATATATATATATATATATATATATATATATATATATATATATTTAAAAACAAGTTGCGGCGTTTTTTCATGTCACTAATTAGTGACGTGAAAAACACGCCGCAACAGCAAACGTAAAAATAAATATAAACTTGTTCTGACCCTCTGCTCTGCTCTGAATTGCTTTGATCCTATAAAGTCTGTTGCGGCGTGAATTTCACATGGCAACGTTGTGACATACTTTTCACGCTGCAATAAAATTGCCACGCGCTCTACAGCGACGTGTTTCTTAAGGTGACAAAAATAGAATAGTGGCGTGATTTGAGTGTTAGCGACGTGACATTCACGTGGCAAAACACAAGTTATTTTATAGTGATAAAATTATTCTTTAAAAATTCACGTAAAATTAAAAAATGCAAAATAAATAACAAAATAAAATTATTTTTATTATCCGCATCCAAGAGTCAGTTATGAGTTTAAAAAACTTAAGCTACTCTTCCCTCCAATAATATAACTCTTGAACAACTTTAAGTAAGTCCCACATGTTATCTCACATTTTTTATATTTCTTGAAAATGCATCCAAAAAGCTACCTCAATTTTTTTATTGTTACGAAGCAGCTCTTATTTAAGAATAATTCTTGCAATAGTAGAACTTGCAAGAACCGGTCGTTACCGCTACGAATCTTAATAGAAAATGTTATTGTAGATGAACTGATACAACACAGACCAATAAACCAAAAAAATTCAAATAACTTACAACCTAAAGCTATACATTCTTGGAGTATTCATGTTAAATGAATCAAATATCACCCAGGTTCACATTGCCCCGTCTAATAATCCCAAATCTCTCATATAAGAATTTTAATAATTCTGAAAAACATCAAAACACCTTGTTGCTTCTACAATCATGAAACAATGATTTTCTACAATGTGATTTATTTTGAAGAAGTTTGAGGTTTTAACTAGACACTAGTTATTAAAAATATTAATTTTAAAAACATCAGAAATGCTTTAAAATTAATTAGACCTTGTTCACTATGTCATCAATCTTAAACATAAATATATTTTTTCTCTATTTAGGTTAACTCTCAACACTTTCTTTGTTATCTAATTTTTTCTTCTACTAACTCAGTCGATCATATTTATATTCTTCTTTAATTTTCTCTTCTCCTAAATCTAATGGTTGATTTATCTTTTAATTTAGATAATTATTTCTGGATTGCTTCATACCAGAGACTTATTGAAAATTCCACAGAAAATAAGATCCATGTGATAATCTTTCGATCATCGATAAATTTTCACAATTGAAATATTTCTTTAGAATAGCTTTTACATTTATAATATATTAAAATAGAGTCCCAACATTTTATAAGCAAAAAAATTATAATATAATAAAGAAATCCAAAAATATGAAAAATAGCCGGGTAAAGGGAGTGGCAACGTGATAGAAAGAAACCCTTTGAGCTTATTTTGTTGAAGAAACCCTTTTTCATATAGTTTCTCAAAATCAAAACCCATTCCTTTTTGCGGTGAAAGTTTTATATCATCCAAAGAAGAAGCTTCAAGGAACCAGGTTTACGCTCTTGTTTTTATTCTGAGACAACTAGATGCGCTATCATCATCTTCAACTTAATTATTTTAATTCAAGCCTTAGGGTTTGTATGCTACCAAGTGTTGGTACACGGATTTTTTGAGAGGTGTTTGGATTGTGTTATTTAAGCTTATCTATTTGAATAAGACTGTTTGGCAGCTTAACAAATAGCTAACAGTTTGGTTTTAGTTTACCTTGTGTTATAGAGAATACCTTATACTAGTACATATAAGCATTTTATGATGAGCACTTAATATTTAGGTGATGGTTGGCTTAAGGTTCTATGATAATGAAATTGTCCTATAGTGTTTGACATATGACTGAATCTAAATGTTCAACATCTGCATTGCTGTTTTTGGGACCCATGTTTGGCCAGCTGTGGAATATGGATGAACAATGTACACAATTCAGCTGTGGAATATGGATGAACAATGTACACAATTCGCCAAGGAATAGGCCCGCTACTTAAGAGAATGCAGAAAATATATGGTTAGTTTATTTTGTATGCATTTTCACAATGTTTCCCTGATTCTCAACTTACCTCATGGATCCTCGAGCCTTAGTTTTCATTTCTTTACAGGAAAGATAGAAACTGGTGGTGAGTTCACTGATAAGAAGAGATTATCAGACAGAGCTAAGAGGAATCTAAGTCCATTACTTTCTTGTTTTAATGCCTAAGGAATGCCAAGTACGAGGAAGCATAAGAGAAATCTGAGTCAGTTTTCGGAACAAGTTCAGAGCTTGATGATGCAGCAGTGGCAAGTTATAATGTTGCTCGTTGTTACTCTAAGCTAAACCAGCTGTATATGTTTGTTCATTTTACAAATGGTATGTGCTGCGTTCCACTAATCTCTCATTGGCTTTCGATCTTTTTTTTAAGTCTCCAGTAATTATATCCCTCAACCACATATTTTCAATGATTAGTGTTATAACATGTCAAAGGTTGTGGGGGAGTGCCTAGTACAAAGTAAGTCATTTAAAAAACCTTTACAACCACATCTTTTCAATCATCAGTTTTATAACACGTTCCGTCTTAATAATATGTATATTATACAAATTTATATCCATTAAGTCCCACATTGGATAGAACATCACACAAACAAGTCTTTATAAATGTTTTACATGATAGTTAGTTCGCCGAGTTGAGTAGCGTCAGCTTGTGACCCATGTGGGGGCACCAAGGTGATGGAACATGGCTAAGGCTTAACAGGATGGTCTGATGGTTGCACCATGCTGGCCCGCCCGCTCCAAGTTGCGAGTTGACCCATAGGACTTGCGCGACGGGCTGCTGCATCTCCGGTCCACAACACCTGGTGAGCCTAGCCCTTGGACCATCTCTTTTTTTGTTGGTTATTTGATCACAAAAACTAAGAAAAGTATGGGTGCAGATGATTTATTCAGTGCCATCGAAAGCAACTTTCTGTTTTTCGTTTCTATAAAAGTTAAATCATATCTTTTTATTTTTTATTTTTTATAATACCAATGTGCATGATTAACCAATGTAGTTTTTGAATGGTCATTTATGTCACGGAGAAAATTGTTGATTCGGAGAAAGATCTCTTGGAGGAGCCGATAGTGGCAGAAGGTAAGCCAAAATATAGGTCTATTTCTACATGGTCTGAACATGTAAAATAGCAATGTATTTTTTGAACTGTGTGGCTTTGGATTATGTTTTGGGACTGTTTTGTAGTGATTAACAGGTTTGCTTTTGAACTCTATTGATATTAAGTTGTGTACCATATCTGGTTTTTGAATCATGATAATTTGATACAATTGTTTGATGCCTGTTTGTGATGATGGTGAATCATGATGATTTGACACAATTATTTCATGCATGACGGCGTGGCAAAATTCTCAAGCAGGAATCGTGTTCATGGCGTTGACATTGTTTCCAAAACAGTTGATGGTTAGCTTTTAATTGCATTTTGTTGACATGCCTCTTTTGAATGAATGTGGTCTGTATTTGTATGAATGAATGAATTTGAAACAGGTTGGACCGGTTATGACTGAATTGATTTGGAATGAGATTCTTGGTTTTGGTGCTGCATGTTACTTGGACTTGTGTGGACATATGTTTGTTGCACCACCTGCTGCAACTTTCTGACTAATGCAGCACTCACTTTTGTTTTTTCAGAATATGCTTATTATGTTGTTGTATTTTTCTTTATATAATAACATGTACAAGTGTAATTGTTTTACCAAATGAAACAAAGTATCCTTGAAACCACAAATGTAGGTTTCAGTTTCAAACATGTAAATGCCAAGCTTCTTATAAGAACACAATCTATCAGTTAGACTGTAGTTAAAAAAATACTAGTTTTATGTATAATGTAATTCTTTGTACTAATGATGTTCTTTATTTCTTTAATCTTTCTAACATTGTCAATGTATTATTTATTCTTGACCTCTTTGCGACCAAAGTACATTAAAGTACTCAATTATTTGCTTTAAATAAAAAAAGAATTTGTTAACCAAACTCTTGGCAGGCGTAGTCTTCTCAAACAGAATTTCGTGGTTATCCATCAGGCGTTGTACACATTTCTTCAGCTCTTCACATACATTGCGTTGTTTCGTACAGCATACATAGTCTTTTTCATAGCCATGGAAGATCCCAGCTCTCAACAGATTATTCTTGATTACATTCAATGGAGTAGTCAATTCTTCAATAGAGGCAATGAAAATTGTATCTTCGACAACATTAACACATTTGTCATGCTTCGGCATTGGAGCCATAATTACATTCGGTGTTGGAGGAGGATCAAACTCAATAGTCTTGTTGTCAATTAAATCCTGGATCTTGTTCTTCAAGGTCCAACACTGATCAGTCTCGTGACCGAGGCTGTTTGGATGGTAAGCACACTTTGGATTTGGATTATATTTTGGTGACAAGGTGTCAGGGTTGGCGGGAGAATCACGCAATGTCACTAAATTAGCCTTGAGTAAATGTTGAAGGGATTGAGATAGTGACATGCCTAACCTCGTAAACTGTCTTCTTGGAGCTTCAAAAGTTGATGATTTGCAGATGATCTTGGAGTAGGAGTTGGATTGGAGATTCAGACAGCATTGACAGACGAATGCTTATTCTTCTTGGTATGGGCCTTTGCCCCATACACAGCATTAACTTCCTTCTTTGCAGCAAAAGGTTTCTTGACAGGATTGGGAGTGGAGGTAGATGCCACAGAGATCTTCCCACTTTTGATGCCACTTTCAACTCTTTCACCGGTTAAGATTAATTCGGTGAAACCAGAAGAAGAACAGCTAACCAACAGATTAAAGAAAGGACCAGATTAAGTGCTCATGAACATGTCGATGTTCTCCCTATCAGTCAAGGAGGGTTGGACCCTACTAGCAAGGTCTTTCCACTTTTGCGCATATTCCTTAAATCATTCATTCTTCCCCATGGTCATATCTTGCAATTGAACCCTTGTTGGTGCTAAGTCGGTGTTGTATTGATACTGATGGTAGAAGGCAGTAGCTAGATCCTCCCAAGTATTGATACGAGAACCATCTAACTAATAAAACCATTCAAGTTGTGTTCCAGCCAGACTCTCTTGGAAAAAGTGAACCCATAGCTTCTTATCGGCAGTGTGTGGTTGTATCTTGCGCACATAAGACTTCAAATGGAGCTTTGGACAAGAAATCCCATCGTACTTTGTAAAGGTTGGTATTTTGAATTTATGGGGAATGACTGCCCCAGAGATTAAGCCCAAATCGTCAAAATCTAAACCGGGGACGACTTGGATTTCAATAGCTTTCAATCTGTCTTCTAACTGCTTGTATTTGATATCAGCGGGTGGATATTGTTCGTTGAAATAATCATCATCAGATTCTTGATCATTGGCATACTCAGCCTGAGTACTCTTGACCTCGCCAACCTGGTTTTCATCCTCTTTAGATGAGTCTTCTCCTACTGGAATTTGATGGATTGTCTCCTTGAACCTTCTACCCATGTTGAGTAGAGCTTTCTTCTTTGGCTTCTTCTTAACGGCCAATAAAACCATCGTATCTTGTTGCCCCTTAGCTAGGGCGAGTAGAGCTTCCTGAAAATGAGAATTTTGGGCTTGGAGTTCCGTCACATTTTTCTCTAGATCCATCTTGCTGAAATAAACAGCGGAGGGATAAGGAAACCTGTTATGCGAAAACCTGTCATGGTATGATGCATGAATATGCATATGCGAATAATTTCAAGGATTAATGAAATTTAAATTTGTCTAGACAAAAAAAAGTGAACAAACATTAACTTTCATTAGTCAATATAAGAAAGATTACATTATTCCCCTTGGGTTTACAAAATAGTTTTCTAGGATAAAAAGACCGAACACATCCTCTTTGGCGCGAGGTAAGCGTTCACATTCTACTCTTCTTGTAGCTGTCTCGTAAGCTCCAAGACCCTCTTCTCACTAGCATAGAATTGAGCCTCGAAAGTATCTCGTTCTTCCTTCAGCTGGATCCAACTCTTTTGTAAGTCTTCGAGAGAAGTAGGCATGTCGGGATGGAGGATAGTGTAGGAAATATCTCCTTCGACCACAGGCTCCATGATGACTAGTAAAATGGAAGGATAAGGCATCACAAGTGTCTGAGCACGAGCTTGTACCCACCTAAGTTAAGGCTCGAGATGGATAGAGTTTTTGTGTCCCAAAGTCCTACTGCCCACCTTGTTTACCATTCCCTAAGCTCGTGTAAGCCTGTGGCGGTAATCTTGGTCTTATTTGTCATAGTCGAACACCAGACCTTGAATGAGCATCTCATGAGGGCCATCTCTGCGGGCATACCCAAACTGTCGAAGAGCTTAAACAAGGATTGTAGGTGATACCTCCCCTAATACCAAGCAAAGGGACGTTAGGAAATTCCCCACAGCGGTCAATGATAGAGACGTCTTCCAAGGATCTTGAACACCAGCGGATGTCAGAATGGGTGAGGGACATCATCCTTTGAGACCATGTCAGTCTTTGCTCGTTCTTCAATGCTGATTGAGGTAGGTGTGAAGCGAACCATTTGGCGAGTAAGGGAATACAACACAAGAGAGTACCTCTTTTCTTTATGGTGCGGATATGAAGGCAATGCAAGATGTCTCCCAATAAGGCAGGTGCGGGATTGCGGGAGAGAAAGACTTTGATGGCATTAACATCTATGAATTGGTCCGAGTTGGGGAACAGAACCAAACCATAAATGAGAAGAGCCAGGACATCTTCAAAAGCTTGGAAATCCATGTCGTCCCAGAATGAACGAGTCTTCTCCAATAGAAACTTGGCTAGGAAACCTTTGACCCCACTTCTTGTCTCCCAATTGGTTATGACGTCAGCTCTTTTCCGATGCAAAGCTCCGGCGATGATTTCAGGTTTTAGAATCCCTTCTAGACCAGTGAACGATATCTGATCAAGCATGGGCACCCCTAAGAGTAGAGACAACTCTTCCAGTGTAGATATCAATTGATAGTCCGGGAAAGTGAAACAATGATGTACGGGATCAAAGAATTGGAACAGTACACACATCGTCTCTTCTTGGAAATTTGATGTAGCCAAACTGAGGAGTCGTCCATATTTCTTGGTAAAAGGAGAATCCCCGGGCACTCTTGAGGCTAACTCTTGAAGCTGAGGGTGTGCTTTTACAAAGTTGATTCGGATGGTGTTTCTTCGGTCGGAATTCATGACCTACAAAACAAAGACAAAGATAAATTTCTAAATCCTTGAAATGGTTAGTGAGTATGCGTATGATGCTTATGATGTGTATGATATTGTGTACAAGTAAGTATATACACACAAAGCAAACAAATACCTATGTTTTAGGCTTGCATGAGGTTTTATAGGTAAGTACTCTCTTGAAGTTTAGTTGGCTTAACCTGTCCTACTAATAGTGATCGGGTTCTAAAGGATCTCAATATCACCGACCTTTCTTTTAGGCGTTGTCTCAGCATAATAAATCTTTTCTTGCGGCCGAGATATCCCAAAAGTCCAGCCTCAATGAGTGTAGTATCGAGTATCAACCAATTTTACTCAAAGATCATTCCTATATGTTTTTAACCCTTTTGACAGTGTTGTTTTACCATTGCATTTGATAAACAACCTTGTATTAGGATGTTAAACGAGACAGGCGCGGATCATCGTATAGACCATGATAGCAATTGTGTCAAGTATTTTTGGCAAATTTTTGAGGGACTTGATCATTTTGTTTAGGCAACCGTGATAGCGTCATCGGGGGACTATGATCTTTTGTTTTGTTTTTTTGTTTTGCCAAAATACTCAACATGCATAACATGACCCATGTTTAAGGCAACAAGTGGATGTAACCCTAGGGGTGTAAGTGTGTATTGTGTATTGATTTTCATGCATTTTTGTCTTTGTATTAGTCAAGTTATTTGTTGATTTTGGATTTTTGCATACAAACTCTAATCTCTAACTATGACATAATTAAAAGCATAAAATGCGAGAATTAAAAGTCTAAACTATTACAACATGATTATGGGAGGGGGATACAATTTTGAATGGGGATTATTTGACAAGAAATTAAAACCCTAATTTACTATTACATCCAAATTGAATCAAATGCATAAATAATAAATAGACAATATTTAAATAAACAAAATAAATAAATATACCAAATAATATGAATTATGCAAAAAGGTTTTTGTTTATTTATGTATGTAAAAAATATTTAAAGAAAGGAATAATAAAAAGGATTATTATTTTTTATTAAGGGTAAACCCTAATTTATCTTTTAAGAAATTAAATATATTAACTATATTATTTATGTACAATAAATAAAATAATGTATATACAAAAAAAATTAAATATATTTAAAAAAAAGGTATCATTTTAAGTATAAATAATAATAATAATAAAAGTATATTTTTCATGTTTTTTATTCTCAAGTATTTATTAAATAAAAATAAAAGTATATATGTATATTAATTATACTAAATATGTATAAAAATAAAATAAAATATATACAAAAAATAAAATATATTAGAACAATATTTTTTAGTGTGAATAAAATAAAGAATAAAATAAAAGTATGATTTATATATTATTTTTAAGTAATAAATAAAACATATACTAATTAAATTGCTTTTTATGTTAGAAAAATAAAAATAAAATGCAAAATAAA